CTTTTATGGAAAAAAAATACAAAGTAAAAATGTAGAGCTATAACCCATCATAAGAAATGGCAGATTGAATTTCATTTTTTAAGGTTTGAAGAGGGGACGCTGCTAAAGTATCACTCAAGTGGAAACAAATGCCTTCCATTATGATTTGCTTGCAAGGAGATAGAGAAGAGAGAAGGGAGGCCACATTCTAGCTATTTGGATAGGAGAGAAATATGGGAGAATAGAGAAGAAGTGGGGAATGTGGCAGCTTTCTTCTCCTCTAAGATGCGAAGAACGTTGGAAAAATTTTAGCCATCTTTTATGGTTCGCTTTTTCCCTCACTTTCTTTTTAGATCTGAAGGTGCTTTTGTATCTTTAAAATAGTATACACTTCATTCTTTTCTTTTTCTCTACTAATATGATTTATCTCATATTCTCATGCCAAACAATAATAAACATAATCAACTCTTTATTCTCAATTCCTTTTTGTTTCCCCTCAAACGTCATTCTCTCTTCGGCCTTCGCTAATTCTCTTATCAACCAAACAAAGCATGAAAGTGCATAAGAAAAAGATGTAAAGTATATGATGGATTAGGCTAACATTCAATTTGATGATAGACCACCTGAAGTGATGTATCTGTCCTGCCCATGATTCTTTCTAGTTCACAGAATATGAGCCTAGAGATGTCAGCATGCCTATTTGGTCTATGATGGCCCCCATCTTCAAAGCAAGGAATCTGCCCTGTGTTTATCCACTGCAAATAAGAGCAGGGCATGTTTCAGTATGACGATATAAAAACATTATTTGATTCAAGGATGCAAATCAATAAGATGTCATCACATAACCTTCAGATAGATAGCTGAATATGTAAGAGCCTCCAAGCGGTATGCACTTTCAGCATTCCCCGCAATTAGATCACGCACAACTTCAAGCTATAAAAATAAATGAAATAACAAGTTTAAATGTTAGCAAATGAATCATTTAGATTCAAACAACAATTACTCCTGTTTTTAAAAGAAGTGTGACAATATTAAAGAGTACGGGAATTAAACAATCTAAATGAATGCCTTTTGGTGAAGCATCTTCCTTTCTTCACAACTAGTTCATTTACTAACACCAACTCAGATAAACCTAAGCACCTCCCTACCTTTATTTCACTTGTTTATAGATATCTTTGAGCTAAAATAAACTAAAATACTCCAACGCGTCAAACGATAATAAGTCCATGGTGCAAACAAGTTTGCGATCATCAAAAACTTTTTACTCACCAGTTTCTCATTAAGTTATCATCACTGCAATAATGCTATAGATGGTGCTGGGAAAAACATAGGTTATGTTTCATGTTTCCGAACATGCTTTATATGCTTCCCAATATGCTTTATTTGCTTTAATTTTACCTTTCGCCACCAATTTCGAGAATTCTTGTCGCTTTCCACTAGCTTTAAAGGAATCCCTGAAAGCCCTGATGTGTCCCACTTCCTATCCTTTTCCAAGTCCAGCTGATCCTTTGAACGTACAAAGGAAGCAGCCTTCCCTTGCCACTGTTCCACAAATGCACTCACTGGAACATTCGTCACAGTATGATCTTCAGTAATTGAAGATACATGTCCACTCGGCTTATCCGCTTTATATTCCTGTTCCAACCCCAAGGGCAACAATTCAAGAGGCTCAGATGTCATGTTCCATTGGCAAACAATCTCAAAAGTTCCTGCACTTGGAAGCTTCAAGACCCGGTTGTTACCCATTTCCCAAAGTAGATTCTTATGCTTTCCCACAATTACGAATTTGAACTCTACAGGCTCACCCCCCTTTAGTTCCAATTCCAAGACCCAACCTTTTTCTGTCCAGCCCATCACCACATTCTTCTTCCACAAACCCAGTTCTTTTGTTGATCCAAGAATTGCAATATGCTCACCATATTCAACTTGGCGATCAATCCATATCTTTACCTTAACCTTTTCATGAGCTGATCTAGACCGGCTGTTCTTTTCTCCTCTCATCTCACTGTCACGCAACCAATAAAAAGTAAAAATCAACACATCTCAGAATCAGCAAGCTAAATATCTAAAGCATCAACACATCCACCTTGCACATAAACCACAACACTCCTTTGATGGGAATAATAGAAAATGGAAGAACAAACTATTCTTGAATATTTAATTATATTAAACATGAACCCATTTTCCCCATTGCTGCAAAAACGCAGCACATAATAAAATTGAAAAGGTTTTGTTTTTCTTTTTCACTTTTTTACTGAAAAGCCAATCTCCCACAAATACTTTAGAATGTCCCACTTTTGCTAATTCCACATTGTGCACATCATTTGTAAATTGTTTACTAAGTACTAACCAATCAAAAAAATTAAATTTACAAAAAAAAAAATCAAATTATCAGATTTCCTCAAGAACAAAAAATACCTGGTTTCAACAGAAGATGCACCACATATGACTCCAGAGGATCTAGTGGGTCCGCATATAATAGAGCCAGTGACTCTTTGGGACTCAAATATCAATCTGGGTTCACCGGATTTAAATTTCCAGACGCCCCTGGTCGAGATATGGCGGCGCGTGTATGCAAATTTGGCATTGGCAACAGAATAGCAGTGCAAAGCGCGCGCAGAGTCCATTGAAATAGAGCGTGGAGAAGAGTGAAAGAGCCTGTGTTGATTTAAACCAGTGATTCTTGGGTAGATTGTGAAGTAAACGAAAGTCTAAGGATTGCTTGAATGGTAGAAGAAAGAATATAAGGAGTAGATAGAGAGAGCATTAAGGTGTCAAGTTTTTGGTCGTTTCTGCAGGGAAAACATTGTTTATGCCCCAGCCACTTCTGGTGTCCATAACTCTGAAAAAAGAATCTAAATCATGGTGTAAAAATGTCATTGGGATGCACAAAATTAAAAGGCTCGTAATTATGAGCTGCTGAGTCACAGCATTTGGAATGGGACTTGGCCTTGCTCCATTTTATGTCACATTATCTTTTTCAAAACTGCTACGGGTACCTCATTTGTAAAAAAAAAAGTATGAGCCCCATCCTCGAGGCTCTCTCACACTCAACCGGACGGTTACTGAGAGGAAGTAAATTAGACTCTAATCACAGATTGTGGCAAAGAGTGAAACCTGCACCTGGTACTTGCAGAGGCTCTATGCTTAGCATAGTTGCCTCCTAGTGCAGTTGCTAGGAATCGAACTCGAGTCTTACTCCCTTAACACCCCTTGCCTTGCAAACTGCGCAACGCCTACTGGCAGGGGTACCTCATTTGTACCCACTTCATCCCCACCATACAATAGTAAGATAGAAAAAAAATTAAAAATAAAAAAAGGAATGGAGAGTGAAAATGCATGGTGTACAAATATGGTATACTTTGTTGTGTACTCCTAGCATTTCTCTATCTTTTTTTACCCTATCTTAAAATACTTGCAATCTTATCGTCTTCTAGTTCTGTCTTTTCTTTTCTTTTGCGTTATTTGCCATTTTTAATTAAAAATTCAAATATATTTAATCAAAATATTTTGTATTAATAAAAATAGATGAATAATTATATAATAATACTGTGTAAAAATAATTCCAACGACAATAGTAAGTAAAAAAATATAAATATAAATTCAAAATCAACAAAAATAAATAAAAAGAATACCAAAAATTAAACTTCGCTCCTCCACTTCCGAATGATGAGTATTTGTATTTTTTTAGCTGTATTTGTAAATAATTGTATTTTTAATTCTTCTTTTTTATCGCATCAATGTAACTTTGATTTTAATTTTATTGAATTATTTATTTAATGTTATTTATTTAAGTTAATTATGATTTTTTAAAAAAAATTTGGGCGTCATCCACACCCATGCGGTGTGATGGGCAGTGATGGAAAGAGAAAAGCTGACGTGGCGCTAAGTTGGATGGCTTGATGGGTTTGATCCATCACACCATACCAAATGGTCTTATGCCTTTTCAATATTTTTTGTTTATATGTTTTCATTGATCATTTGATAAAATAAAATATTCTTATCACCTCTAGTTTTGTAAAACTTTTGATGTATTTTTGAACGAGTAATTTATATTTTTCATTTTTCCAATTTATAATTAAAATGGTTTTAAAAATCATTAAAACGATAAAGATCTTATGAGGACGGAAGGAGTATGTGTATGGGAAAAGGGTACATGACCAAAAAGTGATGAGGTAAAAATACACATTATTTTCATTGGTTGAGGTGAATATATGTTAAATTTTAATTGGTTTAAAAAATGTATATAATTTGTATAAATAAGATGTAAGGTGCAAGGTATAATTGATATAAATAACATTTTTCTTAAAGCTTACAAATTTTCATAACTATATTATGTTATCAAATGAATAAGGAAAAAAGAGAGAGAAAGTGAATGACGTTTGATCCTATGAAAAATAAACGAGTAAATTCCATAATCGATCCTTTATAACAGGGGGGTTTCCCTATTTAGTCCTCTATTATCAAATATTACTCCCGTAGTCCTTTTTTTAAGGGTGCCTTTCCACAAATGGTCCTTTTTTTGATCTTCTGCCATGTTGGTGTTAATTTAAAGGCTAAAAGTATAATTTGACATCAACATTATGTCTAGTGACGTGTTCTGATATTGGTTAAGCGGATAACACAAAAATAATGACTATGATTTTGGGCTAGGATTCCGACGAAAGACCACATTTGTAGACTATGGTTGAAGTTGAAAGCGACTGTAATTCACAAATGACGCAAACGGAACAACCTTTGGAATTGTGAATGACAAAAAAGATATATTATCATTGTGAAATTACACTTTTAGCCCTTAAATTAACACCAACATGATAGAAGATCAAAAAAAGACTATTTGTGGAAAGATATCCAAAAAAGAAGTACCACTGGGGTTATATTTGATAATAGAGGACTAAATTGGGAAACCCCCCGTTATAAAGGACCAATTATGGAATTTACTCAAAATAAACAGACAACTTAATTTGAGACGGAGGGAGTAATTTAACAAACGATTAAAAAACTACATAAATATTTGGATAGGGACACATAAAGAGAGTTCGTGTGATTTAACACATGAATTGAGCAATCTGCCAGTCGCCCATACATTACTTGAATATTCCATCAAGTAGTTTATTACAAAATCTATCATACACCACATGAAGAAGAAGAAGACATACAAGTAGTTATTCAGTACTTACAAGGTTCTTATTCACAAAAGAAAACACTGAAATCAAATAGGGAGTTCATGTTTGAGTTCCCTTCCATTCAACATTATAAAATGGCTAGAGTCTAGACGACTGCATGAAAGCAATGCGATCAAGCGGCTTTCCATGTGGACAAAGGTGGAGTGTCTGAGTCCTTCCATGTTCTCACACCCGGCGCATACCGATCACCCTTGACTAAATCAGCCGTACCTATCTTTTCAAGCTCGGCCATGTCTTCTGGTGTCAACTTCACGGCCAATGCGCCGATGTTCTGGTTAAAGTTGTCAAGCTTAGTGGTGCCAGGAATGGGGCACACGTCGTTTCCCTGGTGGTGCACCCAAGCTAATGCTAGCTGCGAAGGAGTACACTCTTTCTTTGCAGCAATCTCAACAATCCTTTCGTACAGCTTCTTGTTCTGCTCCACATTTTCAGCTTGAAACCTCGGCAGACGCTGCAAAATTTAATGAATCTATTGAGTGACAACCCAAATGTACCATGGGTTTTTTTTATAATGTCATTGAGTATTATTTCGTACATATTGATTGGATCAGCTTTCAGCGCTTTGAAAAGGCTATCTAATTACAACGTTTAGCTTTAGTGTTTCCAAAGCTAATCCCCGCCATTCAAAAAATTTCAAAACCCTAATTGAAAATGTGGTTCCCAAACAATGCCTTAATAATTGATAGCACATACTTTATGATAGGTCTGATCCAACAAGCCACTAGTTTATAGACATGTTAAATCATCCTGGATCGGTCAAATATATATAAATACAAACATATAAAGCTATGGATTGCTCATTTTTTCATGTTGACCTTTTAGATGAAACTCCAAGTCTAAATAATCTTGATATAATCAATAAGAAAAAGATTTTGTTAATAAAAAGTTATGGAGTCATGGAGTGTTTTAAAGGAAAAAAGGGCAAACCTTTCGGTAGTCTTCATTTGAGACATTCTCAAGCAGCTTTGGACCAGATGATAAAAAGCCCCTTCCCAAAGGACTGTAAGCAACAATTCCAATTCCAAGTTCTCTGAAAAATATAATTAGGAAGAAGAGGAATATTAGAACTTAGAAATATGGATTTGTTTCTTACTTCATAGCACAAATAAAACATAGAAGGGTGTTAGAATATTAAACTTTTCATGTCCTACAAGCACAACTTGAGCTTTTGGTTGAGTTGGTTCCTTGACATGGTATACGAACCTTGTTGACCAAAGATGTCACGAGTTCGAATCTCACCGCCACCCAATTTTTTTTAAAAGGTTAAACGTGCAAGGCTTGAAGCGACCACGCAAGCTTGAGCTTTTGGTTGAGTGGGTTCCTTAGCTTGACAAAGGGAGCTAAAATGCTAAATGAGTGTACGTACCTGCAAATAGGAATTATGTCTTCCTCAACATCCCTTGACCACAAAGACCACTCCAACTGCACTGCTGTTATTGGATGAACGGCATGCGCTCTTCTGATCGTCGATGCTGAAGCCTCAGATAGACCTATGTATTTTATTTTACCCTCTCCAACTAGCTTCTTAAGTTCTTCCATCTTCAACAAAAAAAGGACTTGAAAGAGTAAGAAAATTTTCAATAGCAAGCATATAAAAAAGAGATGAAGAGAAAAATATCACATTATCTCCCTGTGAAATGAAACTGAAGTGAAAAACAAACGTTAAATAGGAATACTGTTTTTTGACCCCACTTCAGGTTACTCCCTCCCCTTCCTTTTTAACAGTCCATTTTAATTTTTGGTCATTAAAAATGAATGAATGTTGACATAATTACATCAAGATTCATTCATTATTTAGTGCATCCAAAAGCAAAATGCGCAGGTAGAAAGGAACAAAAAAGAGTAATATCATAGGCATATCACATTATCACTTGGTTGGCTGCCCTATTTATCTAAGAAAGTAAGAAACGCGAGAAATTGTGCAGACATGCATTGGAGTCTTGCACACTTTGGTTCTTTGTTGAACCCCAAGAGTTTTTACATAACACATGTGAGGGAGAAAGGGAAATAACCGTGACTTCGATGGGCAAACGTGTATCTATGCGGTGTTGATAGTATAGGTCAATGCAATCCACATCAAGACGCTTCAAGCTAGCCTCGCATGCAGCCCGCACATAGGCTGGGTCTCCACAAATCTCACCCACTCCATCTTTAAAAATAATTCCAAACTTTGTTGCCAACTCAACCTTTTCTCTTACTCCACCCTTCAACGCCTTCAAAGACAACATTTCAAAAAAAAAGTTAGAAAATACAAAATACTAGGGGTATATCCTTAATAAAAAAATATAAACATGGCATTCTCAGCCTGTAACCAGTCTAATTAATTAGCAGTTAATTGAGATCTTCGGGCTTGTTTTCTCATAATATTTCAAGAACCTATAACACCACAAAAGAACCTATAATATTTTAAGAAAATAAAATTTGAAATAAGATAAGCGTAAATATTTACTTAGGATTATACAAAAGCGGCTTCTCTTGCTTCCATTGTGGTGCTGCTCTGCTAAGGTGTAAATTGTGATACAATGGTGGCAAAATTCAGCAGAAACATTAAGAAGAATGAGCAGAGTTGATCAAACAAGGCCACTTTAAAAGAAAAACTCTTTTTTATGTGACTACTCCAGACATTTGATACAGTGAAGCCTCCCACAGTCTTTGGTTACATCTACCATAAAGACAACAGTACATGTGAGGAGACACGAGTATTTTTGTTGAGAGGACAGCAGGAGAGGCACGTCACACAAGAGGTGGTATGAGCAGTTGAGATTGAATTTGGTGTTCTTAAATATATCCGAGGACATGATGTATAATCACAGTTCTTTGCGACATTGTTTAAAGATTGTAGAGTCATTGTACGGGTTGTGTTCACACTATTCTTTTCACTACTCGCCTACTCTACATTTTGACTATTTCTCGGGTCCTCTCAGAAATGATCTCTTGACGCCTTAGGGTATAGTTAAGTTTTGCGTACATCTTTCTCCACGGCCGTACTCTTGAGTGGGATATATAGTCTTTGACTTGCTTGGTTTGGTTCTCTTCAATGTTATCCTCCGGACAGAAAGGATGCCTGATGAGTGGAGGGAGAGTCTCTTGGTCCCTCTATTTAAAGGCAAAGGTGACATTCAGAGCTGCGAGAATTACAGAGGCATCAAACTGCTTAGCCACACCATGAAGGTTTGGGAGCGAGTTATTGAGTATAGGGTGCGGAAAGGGGTTTGCATCTCGGAGAACCAGTTTGGTTTCATCGAAGAACCAGTTTGGTTTCATGCCTGGCAAATCGACTACAGAGGCCATTCATCTCGTGAGGAGGTTAATGGAAGAGTATAGGGCTAGGAAGAAGGACCTTCATATGGTGTTTATTGACCTTGAGAAGGCGTATGATAGGGTGCCAAGGGAGGTCTTATGGAGGTGCCTTGAGGCAAGAGGAGTTCCCATTGTGTACACTCGCGCGATCAAGGATATGTACGATGGGGCTATGACCAAGGTAAGGACTTCCGGGGGCGTCTTCAGATTCCTTCTCGGTAGGGATGGGGTTACACCAGGGT